CTTTTTAGGTATATCACACAAGATCCGATGCCATATTGATACCATGTTTACTTTTATATATATACGATATGTAATAATAAAATTATGTACTTTACATTATTTTACTATGTATATATACAAACATATTTAGTAGATAATAAGTATTTAATATATTATTATATCATGTTTTGTTAGGTATACCTGTCGCGTATTTCCCAGCTGAAAATTCCGGGATTTTCCGTCTTATACTCCTCAATGCGACGCTCCACGTCCGGCGTGGCTACCCTAGGCTTGCTTCCGCCGATCACGCCCGGCCGGATACTGCCTGTCTCTTGGTAGCGGTTCAGGATCTTCGACACGCATCCATGTGACACACGCAATTGTCTGGATATGACGCATGGTCGTACGCCGGCCGCGGCCATCTCGACGATCTTCAGTCGGATGTGGTTGGGCAAAGGCCTGCCGTTGATAAACACGCCGCCTAACTGGTTCACCCGGCCCTGGCCTGCGGACACATCACACACGCACGGTAAATAACGGAATGATATGATATACCTATTATATATATTTATATAGAAATAGGTACCTAACATAAAATATTTTTATATTTCATAACATATATTATGCGTTATAGGTGCATTCTATAAGACTATATTTAGAAATATCTTGGGGATCCTCAGTATTTATAAACACCTGCATATATATATATAAGACATAAATGGTATAATGGTATAATGGTATGTAATATATATCGGAGATAAATCCTGTCACTGTTTTTTTTATGACGACCTAGAACATTTGAAATCTTTTGAGTTTACTTCACCTCTCTTTTTCATGCCTTTGATTTGGCCACATATGCATGATTTTATAGATGCGCAATAAGCTAAATACATTGCAGGCATATAATATATAACTATAATACATAATATAATCATAATTCATAACAAAATTTAGGTGTATAGATTATTTTATTCATTATATTACTATAACCTATATATACCTAGTCACAAAAGGAAACGAATTTAAGCTTAGATTAATATTAAAGTATCAAATCGTTGTTATTATTATTGGGTAAGTAGGTGAAATTGTTAAAGATAAATTCAACGTAATTGATAGAAATGTTGATTTCAGTCCAACAGCGTAGATATTTACACGAAAAGTAAAGTGGTAAAGATATTATACGTATGTAATATAACCTAACTGCCAAAAATATTTGAGCAACCTCAGGTCACGGAACTATAATATAATAAATATTGGATCTAACTGTAAAACTGATTTTTGTCATAAGGGCTTAGTAAACTGTTAGGTCGGCTGATTATATGTCATACAAAAATATGCAAAACTAAATAATATGACAATTTTGTGTTGAGATTTTCTGTATTAAGAACTGCAGGACATTTTATAATATATCTATACTGTTAAGATGAGCTATTGTAGTAAGTATACGTAGAAACTTCAATCGAACGATCTCAGATGAGCAGAGATATAATATAAAATTATATTCAGAATAGTTAATATAAATTATAAGTATTACGTATATAAATATTTAATGTATAAATAGACAGTCGATTTTATATACACCTCTAGCTATAGATCACCAGGTACTGTATAGAAAATCGATTGATCACGTCTGATTTTATTATTGTGGTTTATATGATATGTTAATATCTCGCTTAGATATGTTTAGCTGGCATATATATGTTTATATAATACAATGTTTATAATATTTATGAGTTACTTACCTTGAAATGGGTATCCGGTAAAACAGGGCCTCATCATGCCGTAATTGGTAACCGTCATATTTTCGTAACCGTGCAGTAAGAAACGTTTGTAAAACAGACGAACATCGAAAAACGAAACTAGTGAATAATGTCTTATTTGTATAGGTTTATGATATTATATTGAAACAATAAACAAACAGCGTGATATTGCATTAACAAAAACGCACAAAAAAAAAAGGATATAATATATATAAAATATAGAACGGTACACTCGCGGGAGGTATATTTTTAGGTAATGTTGACAAAAAAAAAAAAATTGTATTATTATTCTCAATTATTATACTAGAGTTAGCATAACACCAATCGCGACAGAAATCGTAGGACGATATATTCTCTCCGTGATGTGTGTATAGTAAAAACTACGGTGACGTTAATATTTTTTTATCCGGCTAAGTGAAATATCTGCGTACGACGAGATATTTGTACCGAACGCACGAAACGCCGCCGCATTGGTGTCCCGAACAAGACTGGATCCGGGGTTCCGGCGTACCGGCCGTGTAGCCGTGTAGGGCGTGCAGCCCGTGCCCACGGAGGCGTGTATAGTCATTACCGTCCGTCCACCGCCGTCGACCAATGGCAGCCCGCCGCCGGAGCGCGAAGTGTGAGATTTCCCCCCGTTTCTGTTGCGTTATATTATTATATTTTTTACCCACCACCGTATTCCACCGTCGGTTACCGCGACCACCATCGTATGTTAACCCGGTATATAATTATATACATATAATAATAATAATATATATGTTTATACCGCGTATATGCACGTACGCAATACGTATACATAACATGTATCTATTTTGCATTCCCACACCGCTATAGCACACTGAGCCGCAGCTATTTTTATAGGTACCTACCTATATATGTAAAAATTAAAAATATATAGGAAAACGCGATTTACGCCATCTATTCTGCAGCGAACGGTGGTGGCAATAAGGCAGTCGACGTTTTCATACATATATTTACACACTTTACAGCGTGTACACATATATATTGTATTATTCTGAAATCTTAAAAATACTTTAATATATAGGTATCTATGATGTTATGTAACGCAGCACTGTACGACACGCGCGATAAAGATTTCGAATTTCACAGCACGCCGCACGCGACGAGAAATACGCATATTATAAACGCTGTGTTTCTGTCAACTACGATAACGTAGTAGGCGGTAGATACCTTCCTTAAATCTGAATTCCTTATAGGATCTAGGTACTATATACCTTCTTATTTTACCTATTTTTATAAAATGTAATGTCTGCAGTATATAATAGTACAGTGTTATTGGTACCTGATACCTATATATATGTATATATTGAATATATATTATGTTATAATTTTTTTTTAAATAACTCATATATAATATGATACTTTATATACTATATATAGGTACAATATATAGGTATTCAACTATATAAACCTACATATTGGATTAATTATGTGTGTATGCGTAATTATCTATGTATAGATAGTATATAGATACAATAATACCTAGAGCACATTATACATTTACATATTTAAAGATATACTTTATTCAGGTATTATTTACTTACTTATACCTCCTGTTTTTGAGCTCGTTTAAAAAGAGTTGTTCTAATTATTTTTAGATAAGACCCAACAGATAATACAATCATTTTTTAATGGATATCTTGATAATCATAAATTTATAACCATTATTCAGTCAACTCTTGTTGTGTCGAATCTCAATGCGAGTAGAAAAAAGTTTGACTGTATTTGGTATTTTAGTGTATTATGTAATATTAAATTTGAGGGAATTTCTATTTAGTTAGAGAAATCAAAGTTCGACATAAAGTTATTAAATTCTAATACATAATACCTCTATTGTATTCCTCTAATTCMTGTATAGTAGGTATAGGTACTTATACTTTGCCAAAGGTAGGTTAGGTTATATATACATATATAATTTTTATTAGAAAATACCTACCTACACTTAGGTATATTATATTTTATTCGTCATATTATTCTGATGATTTATGAACTTTAGAATTGAATTTCGATATACATCACGTATAATAACAACAGTATCTAATATATAGTTCCTAAATTGAAGTATTTATTCATTTTATTCAATTAGTTGTTTTAATCAATACACTCATGGATAGTTTTAGGTGATACAGCGTTCAAAATTCAAATACACCACACCTTATATACCGAGGTATATGGTTAAACATGAACACGCAGTGTTACTTCAGTAATCACCTATCTACCTACTTCTCGTTATAATATATACATATAAATATTTTGGTTTTTGATATTTTCTTTACTCTACATAATAATATGTATAGTTAGGTATCTATATATTATTAGTTAAATAGAGGTACAGTATTAATATATAAGATCCATCGTATCAAAACCGTCAAATTATTCAAAATAATCTAGGAAGAATATGGCGTTCGGTGATATCCTATATATCAAATGTAATATTATGTTCAATCGTGTGAGTTTAATACATATAATGCCTACCTATTACATTGAAGGACTTAAAAAAGTATTCACCAAGGCAAACGTATTTTTAAAGTCAATATACCTATATAATATATATGATATAGTGCACAGTACCTTTATGTATATATGTAAATTATATATATATTATATACATTTGTATAATGACGTGCGCTTATAACACTTCTGCCAGCGCGGAGGTGGTAAAATAATCAAACAGGCAAGTATCTATATAAAAATAATAAGAGAAGTAAAAAAAAAATGTAAAAAATAAGAAAAAGATTTATAAGATGAAATCTGGCATAAAAAAAAAAAAATGGTGGATCGTGACGAATCGAAAGTAAGGACTTTCACGGGAAACGAAGCCAAACAAAAGGTTTTGAGATGTTCAGCGGACCGTGCACGCATCGAGTGCAGCGCTCAATACCACACAGCCCGACAACTCGTAYCATTTTTTTCAACTCTTTGTAGCCCATTATAATACCTACCAAACTATAATGGTCTAATGTATTATATAGCCCATTATTATTAGCCTATGTTCTCTTTACCACTTTATAATGATATTATGCCGAGAAAGTGTAGATATTAAATTATATATGTATATATATATATAGGTATGGATATATTATGGATATCTCGTGGGTCAGCCGCATTAGAGTGTGTGTTGCGTCGTCGGTCATAACGCGCGAACATTATATTTTATGCTGAATCTTAACGTAGGTACTTACTTGGCGTGAATGTCGAATTGTGCGTTTGGGCTTTGCAAAATGTGCGCAGTGTAGTGCAGCACATTATTTCTTTTTGTGCTCTCTTTTAGTCCCAGTTTGATTTATGATTCTGAAGTTGATTTTTTCTCGGTAAACAAATGCAATTCGCATTTTTTTTTTACACAAACAGCCTATATTTTTTCCCTCCCGCTGTGGATTTTCAAACACTACAGACCCTACAGCTATACACGCTTCTGTATATTATATTCCTTTTGATTTTTTTCTTTTTATTCACTATTATAACATGTATTATATTGTGTCTTTTGGGTCGCTACAGTTCCATCTTGAAAAAACTCCCGTGATGACAAATTGCTCGAACCTCCCAAGTCGAGAGTTATGCAACAAATCCGTGCAAAAAGCAAAAAATTAAATGTTTTTGGTTGCGTGCAGAATTGACCTTGCGAATGGTCACCCTTGCGTTATTTATAACATGTATATTTTTTTCACTTTTAATAACGCGTTTTATACTGTATACTGTATATTATATAGTATATATTATAAGAAATATGACTTGAGGACAAATTGTTTGTATATAATATATTATATTTTATATACATATATATTACATATACTAGATACCCAATCTACAACAACAGGTAAAGAATTTGATAATATCCAAGAAGAATGATTCAGTAATATTATATAATATAATATATTGTACATCATAAAAAAGATATTTTGTAGTTGTAGTATATTTAACTGCTGAGTGCAGAGATAATTCTGTGGAATAGTATTATGATATGTATATATATGGTCATTAGATTATATATAGGTATACCCGCTATTACCTATTACCTATTATAGATTGCATACCTATATTTATAATTTAGTATAAATAAAATATATGAAAAGGAAATATTAATGTATGGTATATTAAATTTAAATAAACATGTAAACTACTACAACAGTTACTCTATAATTTAGATTTCACTGAAGAAAAAAACCATTAAGTATAGATATTTTAAATTGTTTGATTAAGCAGAGATATTCGTTTTGGTTTAGTAGGTATAAATATTTTATTAGCCGTCGAAGTATAATAAATAGTTTTACAAATTATATGTATAGTATTATTACAATGTACTACTAATATGGTAGACTCGGTACATTATTTCAATTAGTTGGTCTTTAAGAGTGTTTTTGGTAAAATGTATAAAGTATAAACACAGCCCGTGCACGAGAAATGACCTGTGACTGACTGTTGTGAAAAATGACGGAATATTATGTTTATCTGTCTGGTAGTGTCACAGTGAATAGAAATCGCCACACTCCATCGATTTCCTTCAAACAATAAACGACTACTTATATACATTACAAAGTACACTTTTGTTTTATGTTACGTGGATATGTTTTCGATTGTTAATTTTAAGTATTGTATAGTTTCACAAATTTCACGAATATCACAGGGCAAATTTTTTTAGGATTGCGCCATGAAGTAGGTTTAATAATATCAATGTATAATGCATTGATAGGTATTTTATTGTTCCACCTAACAGTGATAATAAAATAATACTAGAAAATAATATATTTTATCAGCAATTTAATTGTACGAATAGATGTATATCGCCTTTTTTATGTAATTATTGACATTTAGTATTATGTGACATTTTATATTATAGTCTTAACTCAATAAATTATAGGTAAGTATTTGTCTTATGTCGATATGATCAGCTAGCGTCATATGAAAATAAACCTATTAAGTTGCGTAGAAAAACATCTTAAGAGGTGGGTATTATAACTAACTCATTTTTTTTTTAGTTATGGTAAATATTATATTTTTTCAATAGACCTGAACTTACCGAACATTTTGCATTAAATAAAAATTGTTTCCAAAATACTGGTTTCATTTAAGCATCTTAGTTGATAAAACAATAAATTTATTACCAAATATAAAGATACCTAAAAACATTAAATAGTTTTGAATTTTTTATACATACATAAAAAATGTGATTATCTTTAGATTTATTTGCTAATAGTAATAATTGAGTTGCTCATAACAAAAACATTTTAACTATTCCCCCCTTTAAATGGTTTATTTGCATAACTTAATAGTTATATTTCCAAATGACGTATGGCTGATCACTTGACCCACAGATATATTGTGACATTGTGTACACTAAGGTAGATACATAAAATATTTAACGACACTTTATTATATAATATGTTTTTCTTCTTTTTCTACTTTGGGATGTGTCAGCTWTTAAGACCATCCCATTATACATAATTCATTGCCTTAATATAAAGTATAATATGGTGAATACAATC